GGCCTTCCTTATGGTCCAGCTTTCACAGCCATACCTTGCAACTGGGAGAAAGTTCTAGGTGGACGTTTATGATTAGATTTCATCTTAGCCACTCAGTTCTTAATGGTGTGATTCTGCTGGGGACTTTTGGAGTGGAGAACGTGTGCTCTTTTGGAGGGGCTCCCTTACTACCTACTAAAATGTTTGCAAACTGATATTCCTGGGGTTGTTTGCACCTGGGTGGCTTGTGGTTCTCAGTTAGCACTTATTTGGGGGTTTGGAGGGATTGCCACTTTACCTTCATTATGAGATTCACCCTGAGGGAAAACCTGAGAAGTATATGAAGGAGGTGGTGCTGCTGCTGCTGCTGCTGATACTTTCCTCCTGCTGCCGTTAGGCCCACCCAGCCAAGCTTGCACTGATGCTCCTGGAGCCATTTCATATAAGGTCTTGAAATGTGCATGTTTCCTCCTGATCAGCACAAAGAATCTGCTCAAGTTGTGCTGCAAAGCATCACAGACTCTGTGCTGGAAAACGGTGGTCCCTGTGTCAGGGTAGTTCAGGCAAAGATTTCTGTTGGTCAGAGCATGAGTATCAGCACTTGAATAGCCAAGACGAAGCTGAAGCCCACAAACATCTGGATGGTTAGCAAAGGTCGGCTTGGAGAATAAAATTCGACATGGAAGGATGGGTTGAAAGGAGCCTGCAGTGATGTTGGAAGTGTTGCTAGAAAATGGATTGGTTTATAGTTGGAAGATGATGGAAGCTCGAGGGGATCAGCTGGGTAGGTATGAGTCGAAGAGAGTATTCACTCCAAACATATCTAGCACAGTCTTTGGTTTGAACCAGAAGGTGATGCTTGGGGGATATTGTTTGACCATGTGGGTTCTCCAGCATGGGGTTCCACAGGAGCTGGTTCTGTCCCCCATGCTATTTGACATCCACATGAAGCTGCAGTTCTGAGCTTCAGCACCCTCGGTATGCGCATGATGTCCAGCCTTGTTCCTCCTTCTCTCCTCCATTGGGTGAGGCTGTGGATGGGCTGAATCAGTGTCTGGCTGCAGCAATGGACTGGATGAGGGCGAACAGGCAAGCTAAAGGAAAGAGTTGGAACCTGCCTCTAGACCGTGTTGCTAGCAATCGTTGAAAGGTCTAAAAAGCAGCACCATTGAGAGGTTAATGGTACAAGGAGCTCTAATGCTGATCAGGCTGTGTTGTGATGCTTCGGCCAAGTCATGCTGATCTCATTGGATGACAGGGCCAGCTGGGAGAGAAAGGAAGGAATGGTGCTTCCCTTCAGTCCGTGGACTGGCTAGACCAGCAACTGAGGCTTAGTCTAGGAAAAGCAAGGTGGGCTGGCGTACCAAATGCAGCCTAGTGTGTTCCCAGCCCAGCATCCAAGGCAGCAGCGTCTCTTGCCCTACTTGTAGGACTGGCCCTGTTGGCAGACCAATTAAAGGATTCAGCTAAAGGATTCCACTAACTGTTCTCCTCCGCTTCCTCTTGCTAAAGGTACCCTTTGGAACCTGTCATCCTACGAGCCCCTCAAAATGGTGATCATTAATCATGGTCTTCAGACACTGACCAACGAGGTGATTATTCCCCATTCCGGCTGGGAGAATGAGCCAAACGAAGACTCAAAGCCTCGAGATGCTGAGTGGACAACTGTCTTCAAGAACACATCGGGATGTCTGAGGTGAGATTGGAGTGGGCTGCTGACAAAATTTTTGTACATGCTGAAGAAAGAACAGCAGGAAGGGAATGATGCTGAGCAAAAGAGCCCTTTCCTTTTGTAGGCTTGCACAAAAACATTTATGACTTCTGGTACTATGTGAGAGTTCCACCATATGCATTTCCCATTGCAGTCATGGCAGGAAACTGTAGTTAATCAACCCAGGAACTGTAGCCCATAGACTGGATGAGCTTAGGAGCTACATGAGCTAAGGAGGGATGTATCTTAGCTCAATAAACCAATCATGATGTATATCCAGATGAGACCGATCTAACTTTGCAGATTACTGGTATATGAACTGTTTGAATATTGCTGGAGAGATTAAGGCCACAGTGCTATTGAACTCATGGCAGATGCTCCAAGGCCCCCAAACACAGATGTTTATAAACATGCCATGGCAGGAGCAGCCTCCGGCATGCCTTGCATCCTGCATTTTCTCTGGATGGCTGTCTTTAGCTGTCCAGTTTTAGTGCTGGGGAGGAAAGAGGGTGGGTGCTGAGTGAATCAATGTGACTCCATGGTCCCTAATCTCTCCTCTCCCCCAAGCCTTCCTGCTTGTCCCTTTCCCCCTTTGAGCCCCATCTGGAACCTCACTGGGCAGCCAGCATGTGTGCATGTGGGTGGGGGGCAAGGGTTTGGCCTTTGGAGTCCCTGCTCTTAAGTCATAGGAAGAATCCTTTGGCCTCCCAGATAATGTGGAAGGCCCTAGGATTTTACCCTAATAGGAACGAAGATCTACAAAAGACAGGGACCATACCAGGCACATGCATGGATTTTATCCTCTACTTGAACTCATGCCCTTATTCCTACCTTTTCTGTATCCCTTTCTTTGTTGCTGTCTATACGTTTGGTAATTAAAAGCAGAAACATCCATGTTCACAGTATTGAACCTCCTTGCTATTATTTGCCAATATCAGCCCACCACCTGAAAACAAAGCAAAGCAAAGCAGGCTTCTGAAAGGATAATCCTATTTCCTTGTACTAGGGATTGGGAGAGTGCAGAAGATCTTAGTAGGTACTTTGAAAACGCATGTAATGCTTTTTCCTGCTCAGCAAGCAGCTGATTGCACGTAGCTGGTCAGAAGCACTTGCTGCTACAAGCTCCCCATTTTGATTACTTGTGATATCCCATTTGTGTTTTTCATTGTTTCCTTCAAATCTTCACCTCTGAGTGACATGTGTTGTGATTCGCATTTACCCAGTCATGCAGATCAATTGCTGAGCTTCTGGTTTTAAGTTTGTATTTACTGTTTTGCTCTTCTTGTTTATATCAGTTATTCTTCTGCTGGAAACTATAATAGAAATATGTATTTGAAAAGGTTTTCCTAGCCACTGGGGGACAGGCTAGGAAAAAGTAACTGATAATTTAGTTTTCTCTGGGTTCCCATGTTGTTTGTACTGATAGTGCTGTGATGTGTAATAAGTCAAGTCTGTAAGCTGAATCTTGTTGGTTTGTAATTCTTGAATGTATAACAAGTCTGACTTTGGTCGAGTTAAAGTCAATACTTGCAGAATTTAATCTTAGATTGATTATGGGTTTATTTAAAATTTCTGCATCCCATCAGAATGTGGTTATATCAAAGAATTTCCATTTGAATTTAAAAGGTTGGATCCATAATTCAATAAACAGCAGTTAAGATGGGGTTAGTTCACCCTTCATTATTTTTTGTAGACTTTAGCTTCTCTGGAGAAGATTTTTTTTCTTTTGTGCATTTATGCAACATCTTCTCACAAAATATGCATCCAGATATGAGTTGAGTTCACTTAAATGGCTGGAAATGGCCATCCCTAGAATCAGATCTGTGTGGAATGTCGTGGAGAGCTTTGTTTAATTGTTACTTTTAAAATTGTTTTATTGACCTATTTTTAAAATTCCTATTCTGCCTTACAGCATAACTTGTTTTGATCTTCAAAAAAGATTAAAAACTCCAACAGAACCATAGATCCTTTAACATTGTTATTGTTGTTGTTGTTGTTAGTCGCGAAGTCATGTCTGACCCATCGCAACCCCATGGACAACATTCCTCCAGGCCTTCCTGTCCTCCACCATCCCCTGGAGTCCACCTAAGCTCACACCAACTGCTTCAGTGACTCCATCTATTCACCTCATCCTCTGCCGCCCCCTTCTTCTTTTGCCATCTATTGTTCCCAGCATCAGGCTCTTCTCCAGGGAGTCCTTCCTTCTCATTAGGTGGCCAAAGTATTTGAGTTTCATCTTCAGGATCTGGCCTTCTAAAGAGCAGTCAGGGTTGATCTCCTCTAGGACTGACCGGTTTGATTGCCTTGTGGTCCAAGGGACTCGCAGGAGTCTCCTCCAGCACCACAATTCAAAGGCCTCAATCCTTTGGCACTCAGCCTTCCTTATGGTTCAACTTTCACAGCCATACACTGCAACTGGGAAAACCATAGCCTTGACTATATGCACTTTTGTCGGCAGGGTGATGTCTCTGCTTTTTAGTATGCTATCTAGATTTGCCATAGCTTTCCTCCCCAGGAGCAAGCATCTTTTAATTTCTTGACCTTTAACATTAAAGCACACTCAAAAGATTGGGAAATGAAAAAATAAGTCCAGCAACCAGCAAGCAAGACTCTCTGGGGAGGGAATTGCACCAACTCGGTGCAACCTGGTCCTTGTGTGCTTCTGTCATTTTGTCTAGGAGTCCTCGAAGATTAAATCCATCTCTGCCTGATTGTAGGAAGTAGACCTATTTCTTTATCCACAGCATTCCTGGGTGTGCACAGCACAGCATCTCTGCATCAATAGGAAACATTCAGACCACGTCTTTCTGACCCAAAGAAGTCATTCAGCGTGTTTCTCTGCTGCTTCTGGGAACTCATTCTCAGGCCTCTTCTAATAACAGAGGGTTGTCCATGCGGGCCAAGAAGGGACACATTGGTGATTGATCAACCATGCCGGAAACAAGGGGATGAATATTTTTCACCTCTCCTTCTTGAGTGGAGACTGAAGTCCAAAAAGCAGACTTCTGTAGGCGAACGTCATCACAACAGCCTCAGCTCTCGTCTCAGCCCTTCCATCGGGCGTTGGCTGCTCAGCCCTCTCACGGCACCATCTGCCCCATCGTTTGCTTCCCACTGTTCCAATGAAACAAGGCTCAGGGGTCGTTTCCAACAGGGATGGATGCATCGCTAACCATTTGGAGGTCTGAGTGGGAACTGGAACTTAGAGAACCAACCACTGGCACCTGCTGCAAAACAGCTCTACTTGGCATTAATTAATAAATTCGGAGCCAGGCATTTGTTTTGAGGGCGACGACCACGTGGCACTCACAATCATACAAAAACACACTCCTGCTTATCTCAAGCATTCTTCGAATTTTCCAGGGTCTGTGGCTGGAAGACCTACATCTGGAACACATCTGCACATGGCCCAGATGGACACCCCCCCCCCCCCCCCGCAAGAAGCCACTGCTTTTGCTTCTCTGTTTTCGCCTGCCAGGCAATGCATCCAGCAGGGCAGTGCGAGGCTCCAGGCCCCTTTAAACATCTCCACACAAGTTTTCTAATGAACCAGAAGAGCTTTCTGTAAGCAGAAGGTTTTGACTTCTGTCATACCTTTTCCGTATTCTCTAATCCTCAGGGCTGGTAGAGACAACCTGCTTCACAGACATAAATGCCCTATTTTTGGCGTTGTGCTGGCAGGGGTCATTCCTTCCTGAACGGGCGAGTTTCTAGTCACATAGCAGCACATCTTGGGGATGATTTAGAGCTTGTGCGTAGAAGATCTCATGTGCTGGCGCATACATATCACTTCATGGCAAATAAACGTTAGCTCAGAGGCTGCTTGGAGGTTTGCTGGTACCTGGAGGGGTGAATTATGCTGCAGCTTCGCCTTGGTACAGCACACAACAGTGTGAAAGAGCAACCTGCAAATCAACGGCTTCTTGCATCTGGTGGTGCCATTTTCTGAAGGGGTGGAGAATGCATTTTTCGCTCGCTGCTGTTCTGCAGGTGTGTGTGCCCCCCCCCCACACTCCTAATTAGAGGCCACAGCGCCCTTACATATTTATTTGGATGTGTGGCCCTTTCTCCTGCTTAAGCACCAATTACACTTCAGAGTTTGCGCAGGTTTCTCATTTTTGGAATGAACAGGATTTGGGTTAAGGAAAGGCTTGGTGGCTGCTTGATTTTCTGGGATTTTAAGCCAAATTTGCAAGGCGCAGACTGAAATTCATACAACAGGCATCTTGGATCCAGTCAGTCAGTCAGTCAATCAAAGATTTATTATACTCACGGTTCAGTACAAATACAGTCATACCCCCAATAACACAATGAAGCATCACATCTCGCCTCTTATTTTCATTGCGTGCTCTTCCCATGACAGAACCCTCAATCAGGTATCTGTTGTTTATAGTGATCCGACAGGCTCATTCAAAATCTAACAAGGTTCGAATTTATTTGTGAGGCTCTCATGCAGTTGAAAGAAGTCCTGGCTCAGCAATTCATTAATCAGCAACAGCTGCATGCATTTGCCCCACGGGGGGAAATATCCTTTTGCTTTTAGCATGGAACAGACTGTCTTGCAAGAAGCATGTTCTATTATGCTTTAAGGGCACAACCCTAAGCATGCTTAGGTGGACTAGGCGAGGCTTAGAATTCCCAGCATGCCTAAGCCAGACTTTCCTCTGTCTGTACATGTGTAGGATTGTGCCCTTAATCAGAGCTGGGGATGCTGTGTCCCCTACCCCACCGACTTAGCTGGGCTCCAGCTCCCACCAGTGCTATTGGTCAGGGAAGATGGGACCTGAGGTCCAGCAATATGTGGCAGCCCACAGGTTTTTCTAAATGAACTTTTTTTAAATGCCACAAGGCTTTGCTTTGTTTTCAGTCGTACCAAAAGATTCTTTCTAATCAGTCTAACGAATGAATTGATTTGACATGTGCTAGCGCTGTCTATTCATCCCATGCATGTCCCAGCTAAGGGAAAGGAGCTCTGAGATAAATCC